TTGGTTTCTGGTAAAGAAAGGGGGTATACTCTGGTTCTAGGAGGGGTGTCAGGGGAGTTTATTACCAATAGGGAGAGAGTCTCTTCATGAAACAGGCCAATCTTTACCCTTAAGGCCACAGTACTTTCAGTCACTGCTCCCTCACCCAGTAGATGTCCATCCAGAGCCTTTACTTGAAGTGGTGGCTGACAAGGTTCCAACGGGACATGTAATCTCCTCGCAAGTTCAGGTGAGCAGTTAGCCATTAAAACTCAGGAGAGAGTGACCTCTGCAGGCAGGGAGGGGAATCTCCAGCCAAGACTGTGACATTAAGACAGTAGCATGATTCTTTCTCATTCTTTGCAATATTGCGTTGAGAAATGCTCTTTTTGAACTGTTTGACAATTTTGTACCCAGTCATGTTATGCTCATCTGTTACCAGTTCTCTTGCTCATTGTGGAATGTTTCCAATTTTAATTTTCTATAAACATTTTGCTCTTATTTTTCCCCATCCCAAAAGTACTTTGCAAGCTTAGATTTTTAAATTTGTTTTCTGTATACCAAATACAATAAAGTTGGGCAGCCAAAACATTAGAAGTAATTTATTTGTATTTTTTGACAGTTAAATAAAAGTTTAAGAGAATTAACAAATCACAGATTCTTGTTTTTATGCATTTTACAATAAGTTCCAACTTTTCTAGGAATAGTTTCTAAAATTAAATTATAAACATTCCATTTTTAATTGTAGGAATTATATATGAGCATGTAAGATTTCATTTATCAGTGAAATAACTAAATAATAATAATAATAATTATTATTATTATTATTATTATTATTATTTTGAAATTTATTATTATTTGAAATTTCATAATGCAGACATTTTGAAAAATCTGTGGAATTTCCCTGGAAGATAGCAATTGCGCTAGCTAGCATAAGTGTGCAGCTATTTAAACTACATATTGGCCAACTTTTTCAAGTTGTTCTACCTCTTTCCTTTAAATGCTCCATTTACTATCACACTAAGCACTTTGTTGTGCCCATCAGACTGAAACATAATGAAAGGCTTGTAACTTAGTTATATTGACACCACTGACAAGCTGTAGAAGGGCATTGCAGCAAAGACTGTATGTAACTGTAGCAAAATTGACTGCCAATGTGGCACAGTTAAGGTGGAAAAAAGATTTTATTCATGTTTTATTTATTTTTTACAAGTCTTATAATTAGAGTCCGAGAACAAGTTGTGACACATTTAAGGGCGAGTCCAAGTTGAGTTGCAAATCAGTCAACATGCAAGTGCGAGTCGTATTTTAATATTTTATGCAAATATTAAAACCTGGTTTATATTGCTCTTTTGTTATTGTTTGCTATCCGGTGTAGACAAGAGAAAGATAGGTTCCCCTTTTGACTTGCAAGGTATCTTCCTCTTGCTCTTAGGGAGTTTTTCCTAGCCACTGTCTGTTGGCTTGCTCATGGGGGCTTGGACCCAGATTTTTCTGTAAAGCTGCTTTTGCGACAATGCCAGTTGTAAAAAGTGTTATAAAAGTAAAACTTGATTTGACTTGAGCAGTGTAGGCAAACAAATTGAAGGTTGAAGGCACATGACCCACACTTGTGTTTGTTGCATGTGTCTTGTAGTGTAGAAAATGAGCATTGGTTTGTTGGGTCGTTGTTGAATGCAGGAGTAGCAGAAGGCCAGCTTAACCTTTTCAACTCCTTAGGACCACCAGTGGTTCCAAAACGCACTTCATATTCTTCATAACTTTCATATTTCATAAGCTACATTTAAAAGGTGGGTGTCATATGAGAGCTGTAACTGTCTTCTTTCCAGTCAAATAGATGGGTAATGTAATTTTAAACCCTTATAATAAGTGAAGCTGAACTCACAATTTTTTTTGTCTACTGAAAGTTGACCCATTTTTCCACAAATCTGGGCTATAAACTATGAACTCTTCAGTTGTAAAATTAGTTTTATAAAAAAATACAAAGAGCGTCTAAGATTTTTGGCTTTCAGCAGTAGATTGTAAACATATAGCAATATGTGTATGATCATAAACCACATTTTCTGTTAATTTGAGTAGAGCTTTTACAAAAAAAAAAAATAAAATAAAAAAAATTTACAGTTATTTTATGCAGTTACTGAATAATTTGCCTTACGATTTGGTCATGTAAATTCAGATGGAAAAACCAAAATATACCCTGGTCAATAGGACAGATTGTGTGTGCCCTTACTGTTCCCATGGTATTCACTGGATGGCCCGTCATTGAATCTGACTGCTGCGTGACAAAACATGTATTGTGCCTGACAGTTTTCCAACACAGATGTTACATTAACATGTGACTGCGATGGGATGGAGAGAGAATGAAAGCTTTGTGTATGCTTATATACTCAACATATTTTGTATATGCATTTGCACGTGTGTGTTGCATCCCTTTCTTCTGTTTCTTTCTGTTTGACTTACTCTCATTCACCCTGTACTAACCCATTCTCCATCTAATAGCCATTTTGTAGGCTAGATTTGAATCTAGCCTACACCTAGACTGCACCTAGACCTATAGTATCCAGAGTAGGGACTGACCAATGTGACCAAACTGATACTGATTTTTAAAGAGCTGAAAATTCAGATAACTTGTTGCATCAGACAGTATAATTTAATATGATCAAAAGTTAAACATAGTTTTAGGCCCTGTCTACACTTTTTTCTCTGCTTTTTGGCCACCTTTCCACACATCTCTGGTAACTGAAGACTGAGGTTTTTGAACACTGTCTCCAGATTTTTAAAAACTCTGTAAAAATATGTTTTCTGCTTTTTTTCTGACAATGAAAATGAACTTAAAAAAGAACAAAAAACTTTTTGAATGCTCATTTTGACTAGAGATAAAGAAATCAAGGCTGTCATCCTGGTGTTTTGGCTGTGTCAGATTACCCTAGAGCTTTGGCTACTGCTCGTCCATGGAAGGTGCTGCAAGCTGTAGCGTTCTGCTGTCTGTGTATCTGCACCCTCCCCCCTGTTATCCCTTTCCTCTTCTCTCCCTTTTTCTGTCTCTCTTCCCCTCTCTTCCTGCCCCAGGCACGGATCACTTCCTGCTCATCCACCTATAGTGCCACAGAGGTACTCCAGTGCTCCAAGTGGATGTTGCCCATTTACACTTTTTTCTCCTTCCGTGGATCCTGATGTGTTTATTGTAATAGAAGCAGTGAAGTAGGTCTCAGATCAGAGTATAGGAGCAACTTCCGTTATCACCTGCTTCAGCATGCTCCATCTCAGCCCTGCTACCGCTGTCTTATCTAGCTCACACAATCACACACAAACATCACCCCAGAACTGTAAGTTCTGGCCAACATGCTTCTTCCTCGGTTTTTTATATTCATGTTCAGTAGTATTGTTATTAACTGTAACATTTTATAACTGTATGGTACTTATCAACTGTTACTAAAAAACTCTTAGTGATGCACTGAAATGAAAAATTTTGGACAAAACAGAAACACAAATTTTGGATACAGCTGGGCCAAAATCTGATTTCTTTATGCCTGCTTATTTAAGCTTTTGAATGAAACATAAATCTACAAAGTTAAAAACAGTCTTATTTTAAAGTCAGTCCTGTCAATGGGACAGTAGGAAACAACATATAAAAACATTTTTTTTACTATTTTTTAAGTTATACTTTAAACTTTAGCACTGTTTGTGAATTTTTCTGGCATTACAGAAACTACAGGTGACGTGAGCGTGCTAGCAGGGACTTCAGCTTTTACTACTGTTCTGTTTGTATAATGTCCTTTGTAAAATGTTTTGACATTTTCATTGTTGCTGAGCTGCCACTCAGACTATTTGAACACGTCTGTGGTGACTAGCGCAGGAGAGCAAAGGAAACCAAAAGCTTTTTTAATTAGTATTTTTTATTTTCACTTTGTTGTTGACCTGTTTAATCATTATTTTGTTCTCATCAATTTTTTTCTCCTTTTTTCTCTTTTGACATTTTTGACTGGTTTCAGCTGTAATTTTTTGTTGCATCTCTAACAGCTGCTTAATTGTTGCATAGCAAGCAAAATTTGTGTAATGTGGACATTGTGTGTGTGTGTGTGTGTGTGTGTGTGTGTGTGTGTGTGTGTAGAGATATATAGATATAAATATCTATTAAAGGCTGAAGCTCCTGACCCTTGATGCACTGATTATAGTTCGACTTTTTCTGTTGTCCACTGTATCAACGAGGCCAACGAGGCAAGGGTGCTGCTCATGTATGCTGCCCATGGCCTTTGGGGATCCACCAACCGGCTCTGACGCTGTGTGTTCAGGCCATCCCAAACTGGCAGCTTCCCATTAGCTGCTGCAAACAGCTTCACTTGTCCCATCTCTAAGCCCAGCGTTCCCTTCCTGAGGTTGAGAATGGCCCAGGCCACCACAAGGAAATCCAAACCAAGAATGCACACATCCTGCATAGGCACAAGCCAGAGCTCATGCACATGGGTCAGGCCCCCCACCACAACTGGGAGCTGCCTTCTACCTGTTATGTCGGCTCAGCTGCTGGTGACTAACCTGAGTTGGGTGGTCATCACTTCCAAGTTGTCTAGTGTGCCGCTCTAGGACACAGCAGCGCTACCATTGAGCCATTGTCAATGAGAGTAGTGAGCTGTTTCCTGTCCCTGATGCACTTGACCCATAGTCTGAAGTGGGAGCTGATCTTCCTGCCTGGCTTCTGTTTCCTCACCAGCAGGACTGACTGGTGTGGTGTCTTCCTATACCACCAGCACACCAGTCGCTCCGCTGAGTTTATTTACAGTTTATTTACTAAATTATCAAATTGAACCAAAATTTAATATTTAATGTGTCATGGACAATGGCTATAGCATTTTATATATGTATTATGTGTGTGTGGCGCTGTAAAATCTGTATCACTCAGGTCAAAAATGCTAAAGATTGTGAGAAGTGATCACTTAATGTCATTATGAGGGGAGGGAGGGTGTAGGTGTGTGTGTGTGTGCGCATGTGGATAAAGTGAGTTACTGTCCTGTGGCTTTCTCCAGGCTTCACGGAGAGAGTTCAGGGCGCACTTGGATGAGGTCATCACGCTCAAGTCAAGGTACTCAACCTTGGACCAGGTAAAAAGCTTTACTTTTGCGTATAGACCTACACACATGTGCCTACACACTTCTGTCCTTTTTACAAATGGCTCACAGCCTGCTGGACATCTACTACTCAGCATACTGCTAATAAATCGCAACAATTACACTATGCTCTCAGATATAAGTACACATTTCTTTCTTCTGATATAAGCAAATGGCTGTGAATTCCCATGTCGTTCAGTCAGTCACCTCCGATGGGTTAACCGTAGAGTTCATCTTATTTGGCCTGGCACTCACTTGTGAATCATTTATTCTGCATTAGTCTTCACCAATTACTCCATCTTTATTTCACTTACCTAAATGCACGCTGACTTGCCAGTCCCTGTGTGGTAGTGCATAAATAAACGTAGTGAGTGTCTGTGTGTATGTATGCAGCTTCCTCTTCTTTAGTTTGAATAAGATTGAATAGGAGCTTATACACATCTCTTCATTATTTCCATCCAGTTATGACAGTGGTGTCACTGTTAACTACTCATTTCTTGATTCCCATTTTCTTATTGTACTGTATAATGGAACGATTGAGGGGTGGGGGGCTGAGATAAGAAGCTTCTGACTTAAGTAGCCACTGTATTTGGGTATGTACAATACTGTGCAAAAGTAGCCACCTGAGAAAATATAACCCCATTTCCAAAAAAGTTGGGATGCTGTGCAAAATGTAAATAAAAACAAAATGCAATGATGTGCATATCATTTAAACCCTATATTTCATTGAAAGTAGTACAAAGGCAACATATCAAATGTTGAAACTGAAAATTTATATTGTTTTATGAAAATGATATGCCCATTTTGAATTTGATGCCAACAGCACGTTCCAAAAAAGTTGGGACGGGGGCAACAAAAGACTGACAAAAGTTGTGTAATGCTTAAAAAACACCTGGTGGTTGATTGACAACAGGTCAGTAAGATAATTGGGTATAAAAAAGGATCCCAGAGAGGCTGAGTCTTTAAGAAGTAAAGATGAGGAGGGGTTCACCACTCTGTGAAAGACTGCAAAATTATTTGCAAAAAGTGCAATAATTCAATAATAATGAAAAACCTGAAAACCACTGTCTGTGAAAACAAATGTTAAAACTCTAAAACGCAAAGAATAAACCACATATAAACAGAATTCAGAAATGCTGCCACCTTCTCCGGGCCTGAGCTCATTTAAAATGGACTGAGGGGAAGTGGAAAAGTGTCCTGTGGTCCGACGAATCAACATTTGAAATTCTTTTTGGAAATCATGGACGTTGTGTTCTCCAGGCTAAAGACCACTCAGCTTGTTATCAGTGCACAGTTCTAAAGCCAGTATTCATGATGGTATGGGAGTGCATTAGTGCACATGGCATGCACATCTGTGAAGGCACCATTAATGCTGAACAGTAAATATGTTTTAGCAACATATGCTGCCATCCAGATGACGTCTTTATCAGGCAAGGCCTTGTTTTTTTCAGCAAGACGATGCCAAACCACATTCTGCATGTATCACAAAAGCATTCTTCTGTATTAAAAAAGTCCGGGTGTTGAACTGGCCTGCCTGCAGTTCAAACCTGTCACCACTGAAAACATTTGGCGCATCATGAAATGAAAAATATGACAAAGGATACTCGAACTGTTGAGCAGCTGAAATCCTATGTTAAGCAAGAATGGGAAAACTTTTCACTTCCAAAATTCCAGCAATTGGCCTCCTCAGTTCCCAAACACTTACAGAGTGTTGTTAAAAGAAGAGGTGATGAAACGCAGTGGTAAACATAACCCGTCCCAACTTTTTTGGAACGTGTTGTTGGCATCAAATTCAAAATGTGCACATATTTTTCAAAAAAACAATAAAATTTCTTAGTTTCAACATTTGATATGTCGTCTTTGTAGTATTTCCCTTTGAAAATATGGTTTAAATGAGTTGCATATCATTGCATTCTGTTTGTATTATATTCTGCACTGTGTCCCAACTTTTTTGGACATGGGGTTGTAATATTTAAAAAGCTTTTGAACTGGGCAGTATTTATTTGTTCAGAAAGCAGTACTAATTTAGGTATGCATTTGTTGAACCATTTCCAAACATCTCCTTACAGTAGCCTGGTATTATTTGTAGTGGCCATCCAATGCCTAGTTAGGTGGATCAGTACTTCATTAAGTTAAATCAAGTGTGCTGGTAATGGAATTTCACCTCTACATCTGGGCTGACAAGGGAATTTATTTGTATTTAGTCTGTTGTTATATAGTGGTGTTACAAGCAAAAACACATTATTTGTCCCATAAATTTAAACAACTTGCGCAGTACTCTGTATTTTTCCCTACAGTGTTACATTGATGTTTTAAAATGCCAGTATCTGGGGAAAATCCCTCATCAAGGCTGATACTGTATTATTACATGTTTTCAAAATCTGTCATTACAGACAGTTTTCAATAAGTGATTTAATGTTTTCATTGCTCTCAGATCAAAACAATATCATGCTGTTTCTCTGTTGTACATCTTTGTATTGCAAATGCAAGAGAGTAAGGTGCAGTAATGTTGTCATTCAGAAGAAATATGGTGCCTATTACATATATGACAGCAAAGGTCTGAAGTTGGTTTCACTTGGGACTGTATTAGTACCCCATATGTGAAAAGGGCTGAAGCTACCTTAAATGCGGTAGCTGTGAGTAAATATTTTTGAAGGTGCCACAGATTACCACAGAAGAACCACAACAGGCTATTCTTTCCAAAACCCAGTTGAAAGGTTGGAACCAAGGGTCATTCTTCTATGGCATCACTTCAAAGAACTCTTTTTGACACCTATATTGTTAGGAGGATATTATGCATAAAATAGCCATGAAAGATGCTGTACTGTGACCATATTGCAGAAATGTATTATCTTTATTTTTAGGCTAAGATCTGACAAGTTAAAGATAGGATTTTTCACAACACAATTTTAATTATATCTTACCTTACAGCAGAGAAACCAGGGTCCTTTCCAGGCCAAAGTGCTGTGGATATTAGCATTTACCCTTGTCTAATGCTTTAAATTCAGTACATGAAGGCCTTGCTAATTAGCTGATGGGCTGAATCAGGTGTGATTAATGAGGCAGTGTGTTGAAGTCTTCAGTGTTTTGGCCAATGAACACTGGAGCCTGCCTTACAGCATTTTATCTAAATTTTTACCTAAACTACTTAGTCGAGGTCGATAATCCTTTTTTCCTATATAATCAAATGTAAACAACAGTTACTCAGACAGCTACAAAAAAGTCTGAGAATCTCTAAGTTTGATTAACTTAGCTTAGAATATTGTGATAGGGCCTCACTCCTGCTGTTTATCTGTGTTGTTGTTGCACCCTAGTTCACACTTTGCCTGCGCACTGCACTATTTCTCCTAATAAATACTGACACGCTCACTTTCTCATCACATCACCAGTGTGGAAATTTTTCATTTGGCAATTTTTTTTATCAGCATTAACATGTTTTGCAATATAAGTAGAAGTAATACCATAATGCTCTGCTAGTGGTAATGTGTTAATGGCAGTGCTACCTGTCACAGTTTTCACACATTTTCAATGTAACAGCTAATGGAAGAAATGAAAGCTTAAAGGAGCACTATGCGATTCTGGAAAACAGTTGTTTACAACATCCTTTTTAGATCTTTGGCCATAAAACCCTTTGCAAATGCTGTACAGACAAATAACATTACATAACATTAAAGCGAACAACGACACAGCAAGTAACTAATGTTATCTAGGATGTAAGCTAGCAACTGTCGCTACAGTTTCTGCTGTGAAGCTAACCAGTTGCTATCACAAATACTCGCAAACAGAACAAAGCAATACTGTCCTATTGATTCTGTGAAACAGCAAAAATGAGTTAATGTTACCCATCTGTCCACTCTCCTCTTTCCTTTCCCTGCATTTCAACTCTCAATGAAGCTGTCAAAAAGTCAGCTTCTTTTTCACCAGCTTCTTGTTTGAATTTTCCTGTTGCACTTTAAAAGGTGCAGCAGTTAAGACCATGATCTGGTGCCTTGGCTTCTTGTTCGAATTTTCCTGTTATGCCCTAAATTGTGCACACACGCTGTGTGGGTTGTCACTGTCTGGGGAGGGCAAAACAAAACATGGGGAGAGCCTAAGTTTTTCATGGGGCGGGACCAACTATGAAAACAAAAAACGGAAGCTCGGATTACAGCACGCGCAGAGGGGGTGTGACTTCAGAGGGGGTGTGACATCCATCTTCCACTATCCTCCATGCCCATGAAACCCTCAAATGTTGCCTGAACTCCAAGAATGTTCAAAGCTGTTCTCCCCTGCTGTGGTAGCCATTAGATTCCTTGACACCTTAGAAACAAAAATACCAAAAACTAAACATTTAACATGCTCCACATTCTTAATCAATCAGCTGTCTTATATTACATTCCCAGTAATTGCACATGGGAACACAACAGTGCTGTGTGGTCCTGCTTGCCATGTTAAGTTTATATCACACCATTCCTGTGCTCTTCCTTCTTGCTTACCCATCTTTCTTTGCTGGCTGTTACTACCAATACTTTAAAACATGACCCCACCACTCCTCATGTGCCCTGTCCTAAACCAGATTTGCCCCTTTTTTAGTTGTGATCTTAGCCTGTCTCTCTTTCTGTCATCAACCAACCTTGTCTTGAATTAAAATTAGCAAGTTTAGTCTAATTGCATTGAACTACTTCTTGCTTTTTTCCCCCAAGTCTCTCCTTTGCACTTTCTGTTATAAACCCCCCACTTTTTGTTTCTGTCCATTGCCAAAGCTCCACTCTAGGCTGGAGGGGCTCAGAGCTGATCGCAGGAGCCATAGGACCTACAACTCGCGAGTAACTATCGCCCAAAAAAAAACAAAAAACCAAAAACAAAAAAATGGACCTGCTTCTATCTGCAAACTTGGCTTTGTGTCAAGAGCTCAACCTCCTTGCTTACTCTTTCTCTCTTGTTTTTCCTCTTGCTGTCACTCTCTTCTCTGTAGAAGCCGTTCTCTCTAACACTTTTTCTTTTATTAGCTGTATGGTGTGTCGAAACCTTTTGTGGATGTTCAATTTTGTTTCATTTTTTTCCTTTTCTTTTTGCCTCTTTTTCCTTCCTCTTTAGTGCCTAAGTTTGACTTTATTTAAAAGATACTTCCATTTAGTTGCAGTGTCTCTCTCTTTGCCTCCTCTATTATTTCTGTCCTCCTCTTTTCTCAATTTCTCAATGCTCGATGTTGATCATTGAGTTGGTGTCGTGTTCGTGCTATTCTGTCATTTCTGGATTGTGAGTAGTAAAGGGTCCAAGTCCCTTGCTTGTATGTCACTCCCTGTAGGCCGGGGTGTCATTATTCCAAAAGTAAATTAAAATCTCTGAGCCTGTTTTAAAGCTTTATTGCTTAAATGAATCAGTAAAACCATGTAGAAGTTTATAATCCATGAACGCTGCTGAAGAAAAAGTATCTTTCAGTAAGAAAGGTGGCTCTCCTGTAGACCCTTGGCCTAAGGGAAAATCATATTTGTACTTGACATTCATAGTTTAACGATTTGACTGTTACTGTTGCTGAATGCATAGTTGACATTGCTATTATTATTATTATTGTTATCTTCTGTAGTGCTTATTGAACAATTTAAACAGAAACTGTGCTCACAATGAAATCGGACAAAAGTACAAAAAGATTGTGCTTGAAGAGAGCTCCCAACTTTTACATCCTCTGGCTCACTACTGCCCTCTGTGGGGGATCCATTACTCCCAGCTTGTATATTTAAAATGGTTTTTAGTAAGGCTGTCACAATTAATTAAGCTCAATTACTCAAAAAAATAGCAGTGATTAATCCACAGTTTGCATTATGATAATTTCCTAATTACTGTAAGTAATGGCCTGATGGACACATTCAACTATATACATATTTTGGCTCATTTTTATAATGAACTGTAAAGATTTTTTTATTCTTCAAATTTTTATCATTTTCCAGTGAAGTATTTTGGAATCTTTAAATCAGGTTTAAAAAAAACAAAACTGATTACTCAAGTAATCATCAAAATAATTGCATGATTACTAAATTACTTACCTGATCAATAGTGACAGCCCTAGTTCCTCAGCAGCATATAACCCCAACAACAGTACCAACCCTAACAGCATGGTGATAATGATAATAATGGCGGTAGGATTGGAGTCGTGTGTGTTTGAGCCTTTTTCTTTTGGTTGCTGTGTGTAGATGTTTAGATGACTGTCCTGAACCCAGTCAGTGGAATGCTACTGTCCTGAGCTAAGGATTTCTTTTGGGGTCTCACTTGATCCTTTTTTTTTTCTCTACTCTTTCTCTGTTCTCATCTTTCTTTCTGTCTCCCTCATCCCCTTTCACTCTTTCTCTCTCTCTCTCTGTAGGTGCAGTCACGGTGTGGCAGCAAAGAGAACATCCTAAGAGCAAGTGAGTATTTTTGTATGTGTGTGTACTGCAATGTGCGCTGGGGTGTGTGTTGCGCGGTGTGTTGTGAAATGTGTATTGGAGGGCGTGCTGGGTGTGTGTGTTGGGGTGCTTGTTTTGAAGTGTGCATTGGCATGTGCTGCAGAGTTCCTGTTGTAGATTGTGTGACAGGGTCCATGTTGAAGGCTGTGTTCTGGAGTGTGTGTATCATAGTGTATGCTGGAGCATGTATTGGATTGTGTGTTGCAGATTGTATGCTGTGGAATGCGTGTAGCGGAATGCATGTGTTAAAGTGCATGTGTTTAAGTGCGTGTGTTGTAGCTTGTGTGCTGGAGCATGAGTGCAGTTTGTGGAGTGCGTGTTTTGGAGTATGGAGTAAGTGTGTATTTATGTCTTATCTTGAGTTGCTGGCTGTTGGGAAGTTTATGAAGAATGTGACTTGATTGTTGATGTGTGTTTTGTTGAGTGCTTGTTGTGGAGTGCTTGTTGCAGAGTGAGTGTTTTGGAGTACATGTGTTGCTATGCATGTGTTGCAGTGCATGTTGGGATGTGCATGAGAATGCATATTGGAGTGTGTTGTAGAATGCCAGTTGGAGTGCATTGAAGAATTTGTGTTGGAATGCCTTACAGAGTGCCTTTTGGAGTGTGTCGCAGAATGCCTGTTGGAGTGGAAAGTGTGTTTGGAAAGGGAGGTTGTTGGAAATGTGACTTGATAGAATTGTCAATCAACTGTATTCATTGCTTGCTGTGAGTGAGACATTCTAGTACATATTTTTCTTACATGCATGCATTTTTGTAATTTCACTTTGTTTATCTATCATAGGTCACAGTGCAGTGGACATCAGTAAAGTGGCTCGGAGGCACCGCATGTCCCCTTTTCCCCTCACCTCCATGGACAAAGCCTTTATCACTGTGCTGGAAATGACTCCTGTCCTGGGCACTGAAATCATCAACTATAGAGGTGAGATACACACATACTCACACTCACACACACTTGCACACACATACACGCAGTAACTCAAGGGACCACCCATGTAGGGCTGTCTCTGTTTATTATATTAGTAATCGAGTAATCTAGAACTAACCGAGTGAAGGCCAAACAATAAAAATGGATTTAACTGAACAATAGCAAAATAGCCTTTTTAAGATTTAAAAAAAAAATAGTAAATTATTTATTAGAAAGCCTTTTAAAAATGACTTAACTGAAAGAATACCAAAAGAAAACATAAAAAGCATACAAATTGGTGTGTCCATCAGGCTGTTTCTTACTGTAAGAGAGATCAGTAGGCAAATTTAAAATATGCATTTTCATCAACCAAACTGCCAACTAATCATTGCCAATTCATTAAAAAAGCTCATTTTAATTTTAATAAATGATTTTTTTGTTTTTATTGAGTTTAATTGAGGAATTGTGACAGCCTACACTGATATCTCATTGCCATGCCATTATTCATTCAACCCCCCTAACTGGCCTTTAGACTCTTAGAGGCAACCATTGCTCTAAACAGTTTAATATACTTGGCTTTCTACTTCACTACCAGCTTTCAGATCGCAATAAACTGAAATGTTGTTCTTTCAGTACACAGTTCTCTGTGACCCCACACAAATGAGAAATAGGGAAGTTCAGAGAAAGTTGAACTACATGAAAAAGGATACTATGTCTCTTCTGAGTTATTATGTGTATGGTGATAAGAGTAAAAGTGGTAAATCTGAAAACATATATTTTCTTTGGATGCTTTTGTAACAATGCCCTGCTTTTAACTCTCTGCACTGCACATGTTTTGAAAACATGTTTTAGGCCAAATACACCTGAAAAAAAAAACATTTTAAAATGTACATTGCACTCTGTGTTACAAATTATTTGTTCTTGGATGACCAATGTTAAACACATGGGAATTTACACAGATTTCTCTAGCAAGTATGTGTTGTAGTCAAGACCACTAGGAGCAAGTCCAAATGAAGACAGAGACCTGGACACATAGACCCCGTTTACACCAGGTCACTTCATGTGACTTGTATCTGGATTGTATGCTGATTCGTTTTTAGATCCGTGCATTTATGCTTGGTAATCAAATGCATCTCTGGTTAGTCTGAAATCCCTTTGCTATGTGTGATGGAATATGCAAATATACTAGTTGTGGGGCAACCAATTACCAATTGTTATCCGTTTATCTCTTTATCTGCAGTTTGTTTTGCACAGTAGTGTCTGTCCATATTGCTTTTAAGCATGTAGTTTTGTCTGGTCCCCAGCCATGTGTGTCTTATCCGGATACAATCCTGATACTCGAGTCATAGAGTCTGAGTCAAGACCAAGACTTTGTATGCTGTAAACAATGAAAGGATACCTAAACTTAAAATTATATGTCAACTTATTACACACTCAACTTCTAAACTTCTTAGTTTAGTTTGAAGTTCTACTTACTTACATTTTAGTACTACATGTCAGTTAGGAAAGTAATATACAGTATATATATTTTAAATTTTCATTCAATTTCCTCATCAGCTGGGACTCTTCCCATCACACAATGCCACCATGCATTTTTTGGGCTCCCAGTTCAGGGCAGGACTGGCATCACTGGGGTTTGACCCCACAACCTTCTGATAATGGTGCAAGTGCTTAGTTGGTTATGCAGCTGAAACCGCTGAAATTTCTTACATTGTGTCCAAAAATGTTTTATTCTCTGTGAAAAAGATTTGTTGTTTTAACTTCAAAAAGTAAGAAACATGACTAACTTGATTCTAAGTTCACTGAACAGATATGTTCCCATAACATCAGACACAAAAGATTTTTGTTTTGTTATCTTACTAATTGATATTCAGTTTAAAAGTTAAATTGCAAAACATGGAGATTTAAGTTGTTTTTTTTTTTAAGAATTTGAGGTGTTTCTAGTACTAAGCCAGATTGTGTTGGACTAACTAAAATTAACATTTTAAACCAATATTTTAAGTTCTTTGTTCAGGTAACAAAAACAAACGTTACATAGGTCAGCAAATGTAAGTTTGTTTTAAGATATTTTTGGTGTAGTTGTTGAGTCTGAGTCAAGTCTGAGACCAAGAGTGGTGAGACTGAGACAAGACCAAGACCAGATTAAGATTTTTTCAGAGATTAAGATATTTCAGAATATAAAAACAAGTTAAGTCAAAGTTTATTTATATAGCACTTTGTACAACAGATGTTGTCACAAGGCAGCTTTGCAGACAAAATCTGTGTCCGAGCCCCCATGAGCAAAATGAAAGAGAGGGAAAAAAACTGACATTTATTGTACATTTATTATCATTCATTATACACAATATATTAATAAGCAATATTATATTTTTGAATATATTTTCAAAAATATAGCATTAAATAATATGTAGCTTACAAATGTTATCTTCTCTAAAACTTGGAAAACTATAAATAAAATTCACTACCAAAAGTACCTGAAAATAAACCAAACAATACAATACATCCATTGTTATTATTACATGAAAATATAGCAATAATAATATTCTGATCTCCCCATGGGAGGTGTTTGAATGTTGGAACCAATAAACATCAACAAAAAAATAATACCCAGTTATGCCGTTGTGGACAGGATCAAATAAACCCTCAATCAGCAGCAAACAGATTTTTTTTTAAACATAGAGAAAGGACTATTTTGTTCTGTTTGAAGGTTTTGTTGATTTTCATAATGAAAGGAAAAAAAAAACAGTTTCCAGTGATCTCACACAAATTTACTTTAAATTTATAGTCTCCAAGTCCGGACTCGAGACCAATACTGGACTCCAGTACTACAACACTAGTAAGAAATGTACTTTATTGGATTAGACTATCAAATTATATGTATATAGGGCCATATTTGACTGTAAGTAGCTTGCAAAAACTTTGGCATGCACTAAAAGTTTATGAGAGCAGCTGGCTGTTTAACACTGTTTGATCCAAATTACACAGATGCTAACATGAAGATCTACGCAGGGCACTTTTGGACCAGTTAGACATGGAAGAAAGCAGACAGAAAGAACAAGTTCTGATAGAGGAGGTGAGTCCCAGCTGCTTAAAGGCAGGCAGTTTGGGAAATCACAGTGAAGAAAATAAATGCAGTTTGAACTAGGCTACTGAAAGGTCTGAGGATGAACTAAAAAAATAAAAAGATGGCAAGACAAAAAGAGAAGCTTGCTTTCAACGAACATGAAAAAAGAATTCTCGGATGGAATATTCTTTCATTCTCCTGTCATTCTTCCTGTCTTCTTGCATGTCTTGTCACAAACTGCTACAGATATTTTGAAAGTGATCATGCTTTTTTGGGACCTATGAACATTTTTCCAGGTTCATGAAGGAAATGGAGAACGGAAATAGAGAACAGAAACTGAGATGTTTAGCGGTTATTATCTCTTGAAGAGCCAGGCAAATAGTATGTTTCAGGAACTTAGTCAAGTTATTAAATGTTGGACAGTTTTGCTATATTCTAGGCAGCTTTGTTTTCATAAAATTGTCTTGTATTTGACTGTGCATTAGAAGGATGAATATGCAGTACTTTTTCACTCGTCAAGAGATTGTCAAGATTGTGAGAGGAGCCACGCTACTGGCTTGAGTCGTCTGGATTTCAGAATTGATATGTAGCCTGGCTAAAGACGTTTTCCCCTTAAAATATTTATATAAACTTAGGTCAGTAGCCTTTATGGATAGTTAGCAGGCTCTAAATGGAATCTTTAACTGTCTCTCTTTTTGTTTCAGAATATTCTATGGCAGTGAGCTGTCTTTGACTGTTATATCATGGGTTGTGTTCTCAGATCATAGGATTGGATTTGCTGCTGTACTCTGTTCAAGTTATTCACACTCTACTATTCATTTAGGTTCTAGGGTTTGATTCCCAACAATGCCGTCTATGGTATGGAGTCTAAGAGAATGCAGTTGGCATGGCTCTCATTGGGTATGATCTCACTGTTTATTGACTAATGTTAGCCAATTATAAACATCAGTTAACATATCGTCATTGTCCCAAGAAAAAGTATTTCCATGTATTTTTCTACATTTGAGCACAGCAGCTGCCCTGTAAATTGTGTGAAAATACCATGATGAATGGACCAATAGAAATGTTCCAAACTAGCTTGGAATAACATATCTTAACATATCTTTCTTACATGAAAAGTAAAGTTGGCATTTTGGAGAGCGCTGATATGTCCTCCAGACTTAGGTCACCAAGTAAGCATGTTAGCCCGCACTGTATCTACCCTGAGACAGGGGAGGCCTAGATAGTGAGCAAGAATTTACAGTGACTCATGTTGGGAAAAACTGGATACAACAATAAAAATGGAAGACTGTTCCTATTATTAACTAGTGAGTTGCTCATAGTTGACTACACACCTGCATTAATCTGAATGTAGCTCATTCATTGATTAAAATTTTTGGATGCCCTTCACTTCTTATATGTTGTATTCCATTTATTATTCTTTTTATCCTCTATTCTGCTTATTACTCTATGCTTCCATTTTCTGTCCTGTTTACTTACTTAACTTCATTCAGAGCTATGAAGTTTAACAGCTATGAAGTTTAACAGGCCCATATCCTCCTTGTATTATTTTCCTTGTGGTCCATTTACAATTTTGTGTACCATAAACAGTCAGATTCACTTTTACACAACCATTTTCCAAACTCTCTTCATACCATAGAAATACTCCTTACAACTTGAGTGTGAATTGGCAGGGCTAAACAGCTGTAGGCTGAATAGACCACTGAAGTTGTGTCATCATTCTGTAGCTGGCTTAAGGACCATATTACAAACTTCAGGTCTAAGCAGATTACTCTAATGGGGAAAAACAAATAGTGTTTTTGAAAATCACTGCTATCATTAGTATACTATACTATATGGTAGTGTTCATAAGATTACACCTACATAAGCTTGTCATGACAACTGATACAAACCAATATGAATCATTTTACCAAATTGGTTCAAAGTCAGTTCAAAACACGTTTCAGACGTT